CCTGATATATCTCACTGCTTGCCTAATATGTTCAATAGACACAATTGATTCTTTTATACCATCCTGAACAACAAGATTCATACATTGAGCCATACACCTCACGTGAAGGTGCTTACCATTCATAGAATTGGTCCCCCATTTAGTTAACTTCTTAGAAAGCTCCTTCACCGTCACATCATTTGAACTAGCATTATCAACTGTGACAGTGAAAATCTTTTGTAACCCCCACTCTTTCAAACAATTAACAATACTATTTTCCATATCTTCCCCCCTATGACTAGAAATTGGACAAAAGATGACAATTCTTTTATGCATTTTCCATTCACTATCAATCCAATGAACAGTAATACACATATAATTTATTCGTTGTAAGGAAGTCCAAGTATCAATGGTAAGGAAAACTCTCTGATCTTTAAAAAATTTCACCAACTTACGTTTTTCATCATTGAAAAGATCAAAACAGTCCCGAGTCACAGTTCTACGTGAAGGAATTCGAAAAAAAGGTTGTGCAACTTTCATAAAATTCATAAAACCTTTCTTTTCAACAAAGCTGAAAGGAAGTTCATCAACAATCCCCATACGACAAAAAGCCTTCCTACATTTTTCTTGATCAAATTTCCAAGGAACAACAGTTACATCACCCTTATTACCCCCCAGAATAGGGTTAAAGCCTATTTTTGATTGACTTTTTGCAACATCTAAAGGCATTTTTATACACTTGGCCATATGTGTAAGGAGTGATTTCGTACCATTATCTTTTGAATCGGCAAAATATTCTCATTTGCAATGTTTACAAACACCCTTTTGATTTCCTTCCGGATCAATAATTTGGTCAAAATATTACCATGCAACAGACCTCTATTTTCTTTGTTTTTTTTGCTTTCGATTGAACTGATTGAGATTGTGATGTGGCATTTGAATTAGAAGCTCCACTTTCACCAATCACCTTATCAATCATGATATTTTTAGCCATATTTTTANATATTCCCATGCAACATACCTCTTTTTTCTTTGTTTTTTTGCTTTCGATTGAACTGATTGAGATTGTGATGTGACATTTGAATTAGAAGCTCCACTTTCACCAATCACCTTATCAATCATGATATTTTCAGTCATGTTTTTGTGTCACTGTGAATTTGATTTAAAAGAAATCAAGCAGTGAGACAACAAAATCTTAAAATGAAACACGTATAACTACATATTTAGCTTAAAATCTTAAAATGAAACACATATTTTTTGAATAAATGCTCAATACTTCCTGCCACAACATAGACAGTAAACAAGTGAGGATGGGAAACAACTCAATCTAAGCAGCAACTATCAAGCAGGGTAAAATAAAAGATAAGTACGGACAACAGAGAAAGAAAACACCACCTTCGTTTGTTATACAACACCAAATTTTCAGGATGTTACCCACTAAATTTGCATGATGTTATAGTATAAATCAGTGTAGTATAAATCAGTATAGTATGAAAAAGGAAACCAAACAATCAGTGTAGTATAAATTCAAGAAACCAAACATTTTAGGGAAACCATTTTTCGAGCTTCATAAAAAAGGAAAATATGCAAAAATTGATTTCTAAGATACCAAACTAAGACGAATTCAGAAATGGGATATGAAACACTAACCTTAGTGCAATGCTCTGCCGGAAAAAGTTATAGAAAACTGAGTTTTGACGGGCTCAGTCGTGTGGGCGTGACTACGTGAGTCATGAGGCAGAGAACTGGTGAGGGCTTGACTGCTTGAGCCGTGTGACCGGTGGCGGACTGGCGGAGAACTGGTGAGGTCTGACTTCTGAGGGTGAGGACTGAGGGTGATAGGGAGTGAGTGAGGCAGACAGCGGACTAGCATCTGGCGGAGAAAGAAAAATTAGTATATGAAAATGAAACCCTAATATAACTAGTATATACTTAAGGGTAGACTAGTAAATTAGTAAACCCTTATTGGGTTATCGGTTTACCCAATAACAGAATTGATAAACCGAGCCCGAACCGATAACCCAATAAGAATTTTTTTTTACCCGTTACCAAACCGTTATCCCAATAACCCAATACCGATAACCCAATAAGTAATTAACGGTTCGGTTTATTGGTTTTACCCGATATATTCCCACCCCTAGTATATATATTTCTAATGGTCTTTTGGACGTAGAGGCACATCTATTACGGGGAATTTGTGGTGAGCTTCACCCATGTTACCATTAACAGTATGTAAACTCTCCATCATAATTATTTACATATTTCTGTCTACCTTGTATTCCCAGACAGATATTGTATTGTTATTGTACCTTTTAGTAGATGCTCATGCACTTGTGACGACGGATTTTGGTAGTGTTCTAAAATTTGTTTATGGATTGTTCTACATTGATACACTTTTACTTATTATTAATTAAACTGTATGTAACTACGATTATTCTAATTCACTTACTTCTCTATCTAAATAAGATTCATGATTTTAAAAATAATAAAAATGAATAATTAAGTGTTGGCTTGCTTAACAGTGACGTTGGGCGCCATCACGGCCCATAGTGGATTTTGGATCATGACAACTTGGTATCAGAGCATTAGGTTCACTTATGTCTCACGAGTCATGAGCAAGTTTAGTAGAGTCTTGCGGATCAATACGAAGATGTCTGTACTTATCTTAGAGAGGCTACAAGGCTCTTAAGAGCACTTCCCTTCTTGATTCCTCGTCGTGCGATTTGATTCCATTGAGGCTTATGCCTTTATTTCCTTTCTACTCATTCTTATATTATGTGGAGTGCTTGCCATCAATTGGCCATCGAGGAGTTGTAATGGTATCGCGGATGTGGTGCATGATGATTCTTCTTGCGTATTCGAGTGGGCTATTATAGTCGCCATGTGGAGGGGTGTCCTGCCATTTCATCCTTGTATTGCCTACTATCGAGATCCAATATCTCCAAATTTGGTGGAATTCTTGTTAATATTGTGGTGTCACTGTCCTTGATTTAATGTGTTGAGGCTCATCGGCATGTTGGTCTTCATTTATTTACCTCTGGGTGCGGTATTGTGATATGGAACCTAAGAGGAAGTTATCCAAGATGGTTGTGTGTTGCGACTTCAGGATCGAATCGAGATGATCTTTGAGGTGGTTTCTATGCCTAGGAAATTTTGAATGTGGCGAGAAGGGATTGATAACATATTGTTGGACCTTCGGGTGATGTTAATAAATGAAGGGATTCTTACGAATAGTGGGTGAGTGTGGACTCAAGAGGATTAACTGATTTCGTGGTGGTTCTAATCTAATCAGGGCAACTTCATTGGAAGGTATCGATATGGGGTTACACAGGTGGGCTAGCTCCTATGAGGTGTTAGAAGTTGCGAGATTTCTAGTAAAGTCCCTCAGAAGAATATTATTTTCTATCCAAAATGAAATATGTACTACAATGTGAGCTGGGGATCACTTGAATAAGATGGTATGACTATCAGGAGGTCAAGTGTGCGATTGTGGCTGATAATTCGGGATGTGTTATGATCAGTACAACAAAAGCATAGGAGAAATTTTGTTGAGAAATGGTGCGAGATCGTAGTAAATAAGGACGAGCAGTCATTGTGACTTATGGAATTATATAATTATGGCTTAAAGCTAAATGGGGGAACCCACCGTCTCTGATGATGTGCCTTTGCAGTTTTGGGTTACAGGTACGTTGCTGGATTAGTTATTACTAAGGGAAGAAAACATCAAGGGTAATTTGAGCAGGCAATTTGATGGATGTGATGTATAAGGGAAAGTATTCATCTAGTTGCTTCATTGGAGTGCTCATATGCTAACGGAGCACTAGTGGTTTGGTTAAATTATCGGGACTGGACTAGAGTGGGCGACTCTCAATAATGGTTCTAGTGAAATCGAGATTTTAGGTGTAGTGCTTAAGGGTTCTCGGGTTAGTCATGAGGCTAAGGATGGGGTTTTGTAGTAGAGTGTGAAGTGTACTTGGAGCATTTCTATGTTATCATCGGGTCTGTGGTGCAGCGTTAGAGAAGTGGGAGAAACAACTCTAGATTTGCAGAAGATTTAATCAGCATAGGTGCATCAGTTGGAGATACTATTTAGTGCATAAAGATGGTACGAAATGGCTTATGGATGTTGAGACAACGTGGTCTCGTGATTTGGGGTCACTCAGGATGAGAGTTGTTTGAGTTCTGTTATGTATTTGAAGGGTGCTATTATTATTTCGAAGTCAAGTCAAGAGTAAATTGGAAGAAGTTGGGTCAGTTAGTGATGGGTTGAAGCAACATGGTTGTGGAAATGATTAGTTTCTTCGATATGTTAAGCTATACAGGTGATTAATGGCTGCAATGCGGGCTTGACAGCCATTTTAATTTGATTGATTTGGAGGTATTTGATTATGATCGTCTGTTATGTGAAAATGAATCCCGGGAGAATTATGGTGGTTTAGACCACAGCTTAAGGTCTGATTTTCTGCGGTTATGGGAATTCGGTTGCGTGTTGCAATTGTTCTTCTAAAATAAGTGGAGTGAAAAGGGTCCTAGCCGATGAAGTGTTTATTATACTAGTGGTTTAGGGGTTGTGGTGAAATTCTTATACTCTCTCGTAGCGGTATGGTGGGTGTAGTGGGCTGTATGGAAATCGAAAGTTGAGGACCGAGGTTGCAGTTTGGTTTTGATAAGAATGTCATGATCTCGGAGGAGCTGGGAAAAATTTCAGAGGTTCAGAATATGCTGGAATTATTTTCGGGTAGCCTGAGGGTGGTCTATTTTGTGGAATGAGTGTTGGGTATTGAAATATGGATGCTTGACTAGCACTATGGAAATAGCATGGTTGATGGCCATTAATGTTCAGATTTTACTACCTGGTGCATATGGTTGTGGGGGTATACCCCACAAGAAGATTGTATAAGTGTGGCATGTTTTTCATTCGATTGTTTGAGATTTAAAACATGTATAGAGATTTTGGGTACTGTCGCTAATGGGAGATATTATGACTGAGAGGTGCTTCATTCCCTTGGTTGTGGACTGTGTGAGTTGTTCCAGATTTGACGGTTGTTCTTATGTGTCATGGATGGGGAAATTGTGGATCCTTAAAAGGTTATTGGCCTAGTATAAGATGATCGGAACTAGCTTGAGGTCCGCTTGTAGACTTAATGTGAATGTGTACTCTACATCAAATCAGGTAAGATGTGTTCATTCAGCATAACACTGCTTATGGAGGAGTCTTTGGGTGTTGGATGTTATTCCTGTTGTTAGATATTCTCTGTAATACTCTATTATGCCATGTAGGATGTGAGACAGATTGATTATTCGCACGTGTGTTGTGGCCATGTGTAGATTGTCGTTATTGCATCTTAGTCGAGCTTGATTTTTGTAGCACATTGCGCTATCTGTCTCCCCAGGGTTGCATTTTCGCACTTGGCGTGCTCGTGGTCAATATTTGGGCATTTCGTTGGTCTGAGCAATTTGGCTCGGTAGGTACTTCCTTGTTAATTGTTATTTGTGGATCGGGTGGCACGCCACCACGGGTATGATGTTTGGATCGTGTTTCATGCCACAATGGTATCATGTCTGGATCGAGTTGTACGCCGCAACATTGAGAGGTTGAGTATGGTTACCTATATTGATTTTGTGTACTTTGTTTCTCATTCTTTGAGAAAGGTCCATAGCATCTGTTCGGCCGTTCTATTCGTCATGCGTGCTGGGTAGTTATTTTCCAGAGTTTGTTATTCCTTATG